GTCTTATAATTTTCTATCTATTTTATAAGGTCACTAAAGTTCTATTTATCATTGGTTCAATATTACATATCGAATTGCAATATCGAATTTGTATAAGCGATGTTGAACTCTTACATTAGTATTACTTTATAGAACTACCGTGAGACAATCATATCCATATCTTTCTGCAAACAATATGGGGATGGGTTCTTTGGACGTTTTAGTTAGGCTAACCGTTAACTTCTAAACATCTTCATAATCTGACAGACACGATTGGATTCAACAATCATTAAACGAGTTTGAATTTAATAAGTTAGTTTATTTCCTCTTTTTTATGTATTAAAATAAATTGTAGAGCAAAGACATGTCTACTTATACACTCTACACAATATATACTACTAGTATGATAAAATTGTCGTCCCATTTCAAATTTCCTACAATGAGAGCAAAAGTATGAATGACATTTTTGTCTTCGCCATTATTTATTTTTATTTTGTATAGAAAATAGACAAGTATTGGGATTTGAACTAATGTATCTTCAAACACAGACAATAAGAGTCATGACCATGATTGTCAATTCGAGTATGACTCTACTGGTCAAACCAATTGTACCTAAACCTGAGTATCTCAGCGGGTGCCGAAGGCCCAATTGGTTGTCTACTCGGGCTCGGTCAAAGTCGAGTTTATCTAACTCAACGGGAAATCCGACCGAGTTAACCAACTGATTCGAGCACCGGGCCACTTCAAAATGATGTTGTTTTCAACAATTCATATATGTACCTATGCTGTCATATCATCCTTTTACTTATTACAGAACCCCACAACATGAAGCATCACAGACCAGGTTCGACTATCCCATCGTCTCTTCTTCTTGCTTTAGATTCGAGAGCCTACAACACAAGACCAAACCATCTCAAAAGCCATCATAATCCCTCAATAGTAAATTTCATTTTTCTCCATGTGCACAATCATAAAGCCGGTCGACCTCATCTCATACAAATAAGAAGCAAAAATTATTAGAGAAACATGCATTTGAGTTAAAACTTTGTGTGACTAAGAGAGGCCAAATTCCTCATTTTAATTATTTTTCATACTTAATTAAATTCCTATATATATCTTATAAATAGAGGATAACTTTAAAATCGCGGCCCAAATATCACTAGTTTGAATATTCCATATCGAGTTGCAGTATTGAATATGTAAAAGTGATGTATAATTCTTAAATTAGATATACTATGAGTCTATGACACAATCATATTCATTTCGTGTAAACTATATGAGACTGATTCTTTGAACATTTTAGTTCGCCTAACCGTCAAATTTTAAACTTCTTCCTATTCTGACATGATTGGATCCAACAATCATTAGTAGTTTAATAATTTGGTTCATTTCACTTTTTTAAATGTGCTAATGAATTTATAGGGAAAGGACATGTCTTTATATACACTCTACACAATATATAATACTAAAATGAGAAAATTGTTGTCTCATTTCAAATTTCCTACAACGAGAGTGAAAGTAGAATGTATATTTTTGCTTCACAATTATTTTTTAGAAACTACAAATTTTCAAAACTCAGAAATTGTAACTCAAACTAAAAAATCAGAGCATCGAAAATCAAATTTCGCAAATTTTATTTCATATATCACTTATTTGAGAGATTTTTCTTTCTATAAATAAAGTAAAATGAAACAAGTTATAGCCAAATCAACAGCTTTGGCTCGAAGACGATGACTCGCTTCTTCGTGGGAGAAAGAAATACATGCGGTGCCATCAAAGATCTTGAGAGCAAAGACGAAAATGTTACACCACAAGTTCTTAAATGAGGATTGTAAAATAGATCATCAAATCACGGGCTTATGGCCAAATAAAAGGTAAAGAGGTTAGTTAGATGGCTGATGATATAGAATTTGCCAATTTGGTACATCTACAGGAGATCTCTAGCGTCGGCTTAAGAAACAAAGAATCGAAGGGGAAGAAACGATGCATGGGGTGGATAAACGAATTGAGTGCATACGGGTGGATAAACGATGCATTCATATCTCTTTTTCTTTAAAAAAAATAAAACTAAAAAACTTCAATAAAAAAACAAAAATCAGTATTGTAAACTTTGGTGGGTTTCTATTCAGCTTTTGAAGTATGTTCCATTTTCGGGCTTAATCAGATTATTTAAAACTATTATCCTACTAAAATTATTTTTTTTTATTTTTCCGCTGCATTGTTGTAATATTTTGACTAAAAAATATTAGTAAGTTAAATGATATATTAATTAAAATAATATAATATTCACGCTCTTTCGGTGCACTCAAATTATAATTCTCAAAGAATATACGCTCTTACGCTCCCGTTCTAGCTCCTGCTCTGCTAATTTGTAAGCTAAATTCGTCGAGTCAATTCTGTAGACAAAGAGACTACTATCAGAATTCGCCTTCCATCACATATTGCCTTCCCTCGCAAGCACCCCCACGCTCAATTTTCACTTGGTCATTCCTCATTAGTTTCACATCTGACACACACCGGCGTCATAGGAGTGCGACCTTCGTCGCGTGATGAATACATGTTGTTGCAGTGCTTTTTAGGAGCTCGAAGGAGGATAGCAGAAAGTAGTAGATAAAACTAAAAACTTCAATAAAAAATAAAAAACAGTATCGTAAACTTTGGTGGGTTTCTATTCAGCTTTTGAAGTCTGTTCCCTTTTCGGGCTTAATCAGATTATTTAAAACTATTATCCTACTAAAATTATTTTATTTTTATTTTTTCGCGGCATTGTTGTAATATTTTGACTAAAAAATGTTAGTAAGTTAAATGATATATTAATTAAAATAATATAATATTCACGCTCTTTCGGTGCACTCAAATTATAATTCTCAAAGAATATGCGCTCTTACGCTCCCATTCTAGCTCCTGCTATGCTAATTGGTAAGCTAAATCCGTCGAGTCAATTCTGTACACAAAGAGAGTACTATCAGAATTCGCCTTCCATCACATATTGCCTTCCCTCGCAAGCACCCCCACGCTCAATTTTCACTTGGTCATTCCTCATTAGTTTCACATCTGACACACACCGGCGTCATAGGAGTGCGACCTTCGTCGCGTGATGAATACATGTTGTTGCCGTGCTTTTTAGGAGCTCGAAGGAGGATAGCGGAAAGTAGTAGATAGAGAAACAAATGTAGATAGTTCGGGTGAGGAAGAATATTATCCATATATAGATGAGATTTTATATAATTTATAAATATATGAACAATATAATGACTTATTCATATATCCGGGCAAAAGCGGACTAAAATGAATGAACCATTAACCCTCAACCCACTTAATCGACTGGGCCAACGGGCTAAACAGGGCAGACAACCTTTGAGCTTTAAAATCCATATATTCTAAAAATTTTGGTGTTCCAGTTTTTATGATTGAGTTAAATCGATCAATATTTGTGGATTTTCAGAGAGGTTGAAATTCAAAAGTTGGTCTTCAAGTTTGTTCCGTGACAGACAAGTTTTTGCATTTAATTATTGTTGGGTCGAAGGAAGAGAAAGCGGAACAGATGGAGAATGTGATTGTAGCTATTAATTATTGGGAGTTGCAGATGGAGAAGATAAACCATAAAAGAGGTTAAATTTAATTTGATAATGCTTATATACTATATATTACAAGGACATGTTTGATTTGAAAAAGAATAGAGGGATAGATTTGAGAAAAATGAATAATAGAGTGACAATTTATGCTATTAACTACACATAGAAAGTCAAAGAGTATATTGGTAGAGTAGAATTTAAGCTTTTATAATGTTTGGATTCTCTTAACTTTGGTATGTGCATTAGTATCTAACACTTAACATCCTCCACTTAATATTCAAACAAGCCTAGACACTAAATCATAGTAATTTATACAATAAGCATTATTTTTTCGTATTCTTCCATATTTGAGATTTTGAGGCATAATCTTTTCATTATTCTCTTAAATTTTTTATATACCTTCAATTTCTACCAATTCTAGATGACATATATTTCCTTCCAACCCCAAATTTATATCCGATAATAAAAAGTCCACATATTTCTTCTAAGATATAGGGGGAAAAATACAAAACAGTAAACTAGGACGACTTGATTAAAAAATACATATTAACAAATTATCACTAATGTTATAATCAGAAAATACCATAAAGATTACTTTAAAATAATGAATTAGCTATTTTATAAAATCTCAAATTATTTTAAAACATGAAAAATTGATCAACATAAAATAAAATTCACCCGACCAACGGGTTAGGTAAATATTTTAAATATAATTATAAATTAACCAATGTAAAAGATAAAACAAAACTCATTCGGTCAAGGACCGAGTGAAAGCTAGATCTATTAGAGACATAAATATTTGCCTCTAATATTATCTTTAAAGGCAGATAGATTTGCTTGTGAAATTAACCTATTGAGGCTAATACATGTGCATTTACCTAACCGAAGTTTGTGCTTGTAAAATTATTCTTAGATTCAACGAATTGGATTTCTTTTTAGATGTAAAATAAAATGTGGCAATTTATATGTAAATCATAATTTTAATTATAAGGCAAAATACATCTGGATAGGCAACACTATCCACTTCTTGACAATAATAGCCATTTTTAAAAAAATACAGAGATATAACGAATTAACTGTCGATGCTGACTCAACTAATGATTGAGATTTACGTGGCAATTTTTAATTAATTAAATAATAAAAATAATAAAATAAATATCAAGTAAAAATATCACATTTCTTTTAGGGGTCGTTTGGATGGAACAATTATCAAATGAGTCAATTGGCCACATTGATCCATTTCAGAAATCCTTCATTTCATGTGTGAGGAAATTTGTTGAAATTGTTTCGTTTGGATCCAGAATTTAGGATGAGTCAATTTACATTTGTCCTTTTGTGCAGATAATGGTTAACTACCTAAATGCCCTCAACTATATTTTATTTATACTTTCCTTTCCTTCCCATAAAAACCTCTTCCTTTCCCCCATCTCTGCCAAAAAAGTAGCTCGACCATCACTCCTTTCTAACAATGAATAAATGTGAAACCAAGAAGGGAGGAGATAGCAGCAGAGCCAATTTCATGGTCGACTTGGCAGAAGAAGAAGAAGAAGAAGAGGTTTATTGCGAGTGTCCACTTGAAGCTGTGATGAGGACATCCAGAACCTCCAGAAACCCTAATCGAGCATTCTGGGCATGCTCACAGTACAGATCAAAGGTAAGTTCTGTAACCCATCTCTTACTTTAGGTGCTGCTAATTTGGCTGTTGATATTGATAGTCTCTTGATCCTTCATTGCAGTGGGTAAAGTACAGACTAGTGCAGGCAGAGGAATATGGCTTCTTTATGATATTTCCTCCTCATTTTTTTGTGTGGATTACTTTGGTTGCTTTGCAGGCTGAACCCGGGTGTGGCTTCTTTGATTGGTGTGATGTCCGAGCTGTGCAATTCAAAGAGCAAAGACTTCGGAATGTGATCGCCAAATTGCAAAGTAAAGTCTGCAGCCTGGAGAAAGAGAATGATAGGTTGGTTCAGTTGTTGGCTGTTAGTCGACCAACATCTGCTGCTGCTTGTGATCAATTTATGAATGTCGACAATAGGGAGATTGAAGTGGTGAAACAGAGATTGACTCAAGTGGAGAGGCAACTTAGTCGAGTTTGGATTAACTAATTGTTGTCATGTATGAATGCCTACTCTGCTCAACTCTTGTATTTTGTTTATGTTTGTAGAATGAAATGGCTGAAAATGGTATTGAATAGGTCTGATGTAGCAGTTATGTGTGTAATGGAATCTTGTTTATGATATAAGTGTTATAATTGTTGTGTTATGATGGACAAAGACGAGTGTGCTTATAACTATTGGATGGAATGGTCTCTTTATAAGTCGAGATTTTACCATCTACAAAATATAACTGAAATAAAATGATGAAACAAGGACAACTGATGAAATCTGTTTGAAACAACAAGTTTGCAAATCAGCTTATACAAGCTGGACATGGTAAAGCATAATCCTATTAGATTTATAATAAGCTGGGTCCTGCATTTACAATAAGGATACTTACATACTTGGATTCTGGAATATGCACTTTACAAAATACAGCCTGCATATATGGATCTTGTTCTCCATCGAAGTTGCAGCTCCTATGAACCATACTTATACATCTTTACAAAAGAACAGGCTGCCCTACATTTTGCAAAGACTGTCATTGAGTGTGCTTCTCAATGACAGATAGACAAAAACACAAGCCTCTTTGCAAAATAGACAACATTACACCTAATATATCATACTGCAGTAGCTACATAGGTAGTGGAAACTACCCCTCATTCATCTTTTATGAGGTTAAGAACTAGTGTCAGCTTGTCTTCTTCCTTCTCCAGCTGATAGAAGACCTTTAGATCACCAGGACTGTTGGAAAGCTTACTCACGGCTATTATCATTTGAATCCTGGTGAGTCCCTCCATTTTTTCCAAGTTCTTCAACAAATCCTGGCGCATAGTATTGTAATCCTGACTCTCTCCCAGTGCCCGTGCAATAGTGTCCGCAGACTCTCTAATAAGAGGCGTCAATCCTCTCAATTCAGCACAAACCTCAGCCATTGGGTCTTCATTTTGTACTTTTTGCTTCTTCTTCTTCTTCTGAGAAGGACCAGCCTCTGCAGATGCATTCGACCGCTTCTTGTTCAATCGAATTTCCACCCCATCATTAATCATATTCAGCATTGCTTCATCCATATTCGCACTATTCATTTGGTCCAAAGGATACGGCGGGCTGTCATCCTCATCTGAGCTATCATCCTCTACTTCCTCTATGATGGGATCATTACCAGAAAATCCATTATCACCAGTGGCACGACCTTTCCCGAATACTGTCCCCAGATCAAAGAACTGCGGGAATGGGACGCGTTTGTAGGTCTTGCAGTCACTATGGCTCTGCAATTTATATTCAATTCAAATGAAAAAATCAGCAGCTAATAAACTTGACAGTCACTAGTACTCAACCAACTTGACAATCAATAAACTTTCCAATCTGTCTCACCTAACAGACTTAAATGCATCACCTGTCTCACCTAACAGACTTAAATGGATTGTTTAACAGACTTCAATTTATGTAACCATACCTTCAAAAAGTGGTCCCATGTCTCATCAGATGCATCAACATATGAGCCCACCTCGTTCCACCCAAAACCGCTCTGAACCCGCATCATAACAGTGCTGTGATACCAATGCTTCAGCTTCTTAATCCTAGTTTTAATAGCTCCCTTTGCCCTCAAACCACATCCTGGTACAAGCTTTTCCATCATCCTCTCGATCTCCTTAAACACACCATTTTTGCACGTACCATCCTCTATTTGCCCCTTGTCTGTTAACTCTTGAAGGCATTGAAGAAAGGGACCATCATGCTTGGAATCCCAGAAGGTATAAGCCCTAGTACTAGCTACAGCATTCCTTCTTTTCCTCATGTTTACCTATGACATCAATTAAACAATCCAAAAACTGAAACTCAACCAACAAATACCCAACATATAAGATAAAAAGTATCAGTTACATACATTAATAGAACCATTATCAATTGAGTAGGGGAAAGTTTAGTAGTCCAAAAGCAAGGCTGCCCCACTAGCCAACAGACAGATTAAACTACAGAGATCCACACAAGTTTAGTAGTCCAAAAGCAAGGCCACCCCACTTACATCAAGATCAGCTAGTTCAAAAATGATAAAAGTACAGAGATACACACACAATATTAAACTCTAGAACTCCTACTTTCCCACATTGCCATTGCTTTGTTGTTCCTAAACTGGGTCCAAGCTGGACATGGTTGCGTGCTAGTAGTGTCGATGGTCTCAACTTCAGTTACTTCATATTGTTCCGGTTCTTCATCTTGATACCGTAGCTCAACAGAATCAGCCCCCTGTTCCCTTTTGATGAAATTATGGATTATGCAACATGCAACAACCAAACGCGCCATCTCTTTTGGAGTGAACCAAGATGTATTCCTAAGAATAGCCCACCGCATTTTCATAATGCCAAAAATACGCTCAATCACATTTCTAGCTGAAGAATGCTTCATATTATAATATTCCTCGGCAGTTTCCGGTCGATTTGCACCCCATTCTTTGAGATGGTATCGCTGACCACGATAGGGAGTCAAAAAACCAGGGCTATTCGCGTACCCAGCATCAGCTAGGTAATAACAACCTTCATTCAAATAGAAAATGCTTATTATTGTTACTTAGCTAATCAATTTTTTGGGATTTGTTAAGCTAACAAATAAATTTAACAATTATTACCTTCTGGCACGGTAAGGCCATTTTCCCTAGTAAGGGCATCACGCAACACTCGTCCATCGTGTGCAGACCCCTCCCATCCAGATAAACAATAAACAAATTCCAAGTTGGGTGTGCAAACACCCAACACATTCATTGAAAGATCCCCCTTCCTATCTCGATACCTAGTTCGTTCCTCTTTCAATGGTCGAACAAGAATATGAGTTCCATCTAGGGCTCCAAGGCATTTCTATCAAAACCACGGTAAACAACGTTCAGGATATGATTGAAAGTAACAAATTAAAGCAATAAAAGATTGGAGAAACAATTTAGGAGTTAACCTTGAAATGTTTCCATCTACTATTGGTACATGTTTGAGGAATGGGCACTGGCTTCTTCATCAGCTGGTTGTTTAGTCTAAGAACAGCCCGCAATACACGATGAATAGTTCGAGATATTGTCTCCCCCGAACGACGCAAATTGAGCCTTAGGGTTCTGTTTTTCTCGTTATGTGATATAGTTCGCAAAAAGATATAGACCATCTCATCTATATCCACGTGTTTAGTTTTTTTCAGCCCTGCCTCACTAACTAGAATCACACAGAACTTTCGAAATAGGGTGCGATTCATCCTAACTTGGTCGAAGGTGTCTATGTCAGACATCCTAGTAGAATTTCTAAGGTGTCTCTGTCTATCATAGTGCCTCTCCAAGTAGGTGTCCAAAGGTTGCCTACTAAGTCTAGGACTGGTGTACTTTTTTGCTGCAAGCACAGCTAGTTCGATACCTAGACTAACGCAGATCATAATAAGGTTGGAGAACGAACAGATAGCTGCAACCACCTGCCGCCTACGAGCTGGAGCTAAAGTTGATAGTCGTGGCATCCTTTACAATAGGTAGAATCCATAATTAGTGTATAATTAATATATTATGTATGTATATATTGTTAGAGGGCTTATCACGTTAGCTTCCAACACAAAATGAAAATAACAGAAGATTTCTCATGTCTCTTTTTATGAAAAGTAAGCACAGCAAGGGGGAAATGGTAGCAAACAACTAATTGCAAGCATATAGAAGCAATAAAGGAGAAGGGTAAACACGGGGAGGAAATTGATTCTGACAAAAAATCTCCAGACAAGCAATAGATATAACTTTGACCGTATGAGGAAGGGGAGATGAAGGATAGAGGAACAATTTTTAAGAAGGAAAAGCCAGTCGTTTTGTGGCTGTACTGTACCACTGTACCGATTGATTCTTTGCTTGCATTCACTCGGTGCTTAGTACTCTGTAATTGTTTTGCTTAAAATAAAAAAACCATACCAAATTAGACTACTTCCAAACGAGGCTCTCGGTTTAATCCATCGCCAAAATCCCAAGGCAAACAAAATAGGGATTTAACAGCAGATATAAGCACAAAGAGACTTTTAGGGTTCTGAGAAAAAATCCCCAGTTGTTTGGGTGTATAACTAATATAGATTGACTTTGGACATACCTGACCCGATCGTTGACGACGATAATCTCACACCTCTTCTTCTTCGTATAAACTCGACGCCACCAAGCTTCTTCACCAGTAATCGCCAATCGCCGAGCTCGACCAGATGCGGCAAGAATATGGAAGAAGAAACAATATATGAAGAGGAATAAAGGGGTCGTGAGGAGGGGAAGGGAACAAGGGCACATTTGGATTAACAATAAAATAACAGGGATAGAATTGTCAACAAAAAAAAGAAAAACGAGACAATTGGAATTGTCTCCCCCCCCCCCCCCACCAGGTATTTGTAATTGACCCGTAACGCGTCAAAGCATATTTCCCCAATGCTCAATTGCTTCATCCGATTTTTGCACTGCCAAATGGGTTAATTTGGCCCAATTGATTCATTTTGAGTTAATTGGTACAAATTGATCCATCACATAGTTCCATCCAAACGACCCCTTAATTAATTGAAAACCCCTAAAATCTTCTTTTTTATCCGCCGCTTCGACCTCCCCTTCCCCTTCTTTTTCTCGCCTTTGCAAATCCTCCGTCACCGCACCCACCAGCTCTTTCCCAAGCAAACAAGAAAAGTCCTTCTTCAACGACCCATTGGAGGAGAAGAGCGGTGGCAGTGGTCATCCGGAGCTGAAGAAGGTTGTCAATCTGTGGATGGCTACCATCCAGATCTCGCCGCCGAAGAAGTTTTCTAGATCTTGCCGCCGACAATCTCTTCCAACACTGCCATTTTCGTGAAGCTCTGCGAGGGTGTCAAAAAGCGGCGGAAGTACAGGAAAAGAAGAGCAGGAGAGAAATGAGTCACGGTAGAGCAGTAGAGGAGCGAGTTTCATTGATCTAGAGAGAAGGAGTGCCTGAATTTAGGAGTCCGATTTACAAGTCTCTTCTGTCTCGATTTCCTCGGTGACGGGGTCAGTCACTTCCTGAATTTTTAGACATTTGTGGTGTTGGCGAAGCTTTGGAGACCTCTCTCTACCGCGGGCCTTTCTTCTATCCTACCGCCGTGCGCTCCTATTACTCTAATGTTGCTACCGTCCCATCTTGACTTCTCTTCGCCACCGTATCAAAGAGACCCCAGGCCCTCTTACAGATCTTGCGCCATCGTCGGAGTGTCAGCACCCCAACAAATCAAAATTGAGTGAAGATAGAACAAAAACATCTTAGTCCAGGAACAGAGAGAATAACATGCAGATGTGGAAGAGGGCATCGAGTCAAACCTGAGCATATCAGAGAATCATATCGATTGAAATATGGGCAGAAAGGGGGTCTCTGGTCGTCGCTTCTCTCTGCTCCGACGGGGAGGTTGATGGACATGCAGGGGTGAGCAAGGCAAGAGGTGGGTGCAGCGGCCACGCTTTCAATTTGGGAATGGAGGTCTGGCAGCAAAAAAAGAAGAAGAGGCGGAGGGGAAAATGGAACTTGGGTTCTTGGTGAGAGACTGATAGTGAGTGGGTCAAGGCTCAAGGGGAAATTAAAAGTAAAGTGGAGGGTTTTTGAATTTTTTGAGATCCGGGCTAAATTTAAGAGGCATATATTGATATAAATCAAACTAACTCAAGCAAATTTTTTATATTTTAAACTAAATATGAGTATTTATAAACTAAATAGTTATAGCAACAAATATAAAATATCTATTGCGGCAAAAGAATTATTAGTCGTTATAAATCTTTTGAGTTTCAAAACTTAATTGCTATAGAGGCAAATTATGTATGTGTAGTATATCTAATACTTTTAGAGTCACATAATTGTGCCTATTGAGGAAAATTATATGTGTTGCATATGTAATACTTTTAGATGCACATAATAGTGACTATTGAGGCCAATTATACATGTGTTGCTTATAATATTCTTTTAGCAGCAAATACAATATTTGCCTCAACAATTAGCCGCTATATGTGGGTTCTCTTGTAGTGATACTTTGTACCAGGATTGTTATATTGAATCGTTTAGGACAGAAATAACACTTTTTGAATAGTTAGGATTTTCTAGTGGAATTAGTCATAAATTAAACATAGTTAACACATCGATAAAAAATTTCTACTCCACATCCATGTTTTGTCCAAAAATGCTAATTCAATACGTTTCTCAATGCCTATGTCCAGGATGATCATGAATCCTATTATGTCTCACCATGTACTATGCGAGAGTCCAAAATTTATGATCAGGTTGATCCCTTGTGACATTTGGATTACTCTCATATTCAATGTTCTCCATTGGACCATCCACATCCTCATGCTAGTATCATTGATCTTCAACTATCATATTGAAAAGGGTAACTACAATTTAATAACCAAATCTTTCGTTTTAAACAATATAATAGCCAAAACTTTTCAAAAACAACTTAATAGACAAATCGTCAACTTTCCGTTTGTTAATTGACTACATGGCAAAAAATTAAGTGAGTTGGATGTCCTTATGTTGATGTGGCTAATGACTAAAAAATTTAACATGTCACATGAATATTTATATTATTTTAACTACTTAATTGTTTATTTTTAAAATCAGAAAATAAAATAAAAAAGGGTAAAACCTTATCCGTTCTCTCTCTATTCTAACAAAAAAAAAACAGATCGACTCCCTCTCCTTTGTCGAATCCCTATCCGACTAGCAGTGGTCACGAAAGTTCTAGATTTTGGGAAGAAGGGAAAAAATCCCACTGTACACACGTTCTTAAAAAAAATTCCCAAAATACATGAGTTATAAAAAAATTTCCCAAAGTACACATGTTTGAGCATCACCGTTTTAGACAAAAGCGGTGAAGGTCATCACCTCCTTTGACGAAGACGGTGAATACTTCACCGTATTTAACAAAAACGGTGAAGTATTCACCGTTTCATATTAAAACGGTTAAGGGTTCACCGCGTTGGTTAACAACGGTGAATACATCACCGCTTTGGTTAAAAACGGTGAACTGATTCACCGTTGTTGTTTAACGCGGTGATCTTTTCCCACGTTTCCCACCCCTGGTAGGTCAAAATTAGGTCGCAGCTACCAACTATTCACCGTTTGAGACAAAAGCGGTGATGGTATTCACCGTTTTCGACAAAAACGGTGAATAGTAGGCAGATTTCCCTATAAATAGCACACCACCAGCAGTTGTAAAAACATAACCACTCCCCTTTCTTCAAATTTCAGCAGCCAAAATCGAGCATAATACACAGAACAGAAATTTTTCGGTATGTTGAGACTTTTCGTATTATAGTCTAATTATGTTTTTAGTAGTTATAGTATGATTTAATTTTCGTCTTATGTTGTTGTTAGTTTGTTGAATTTATGTTCATTAGTTATAGTATGATTTAATTTTCGTATTATGTTGTTGTTAGTTAGTTGAATTTATTTTCGTTAGTTATGGTATGATTTAATATTAGTTGTACAATATGATTTTGGTTAATTTTACTGTCTTTAAGCTAATAGATACTTATTGTAAATTGTAGATATGGGTAAATTCAAGAAGCTTCATCTTACTATTCGGTGGAATGGAAGGGTGACAAACTCTGACATAGGCATTGATTATGAGGACGGCGAATCCATTATGCTGACAATTGATTCCCGATTCAATTTTCAAGAACTCTGTGATATTTGTGCAGAAAGGGTTTGTACGAGCGGACAGACGAGACTTGGCAAAATTACTTACCGGTATCCAGACATGAGTGCTGGCGGGGTCGTGTTCCAAGAAGTTGTCATAAACGATCATGATGCGGTTACGATGATGTTACAGTTTCTAAGCGATAACCAAGTCCGGCTTGCAGAGGTGTATGTTGAGACCGAGGCGGTCGGTGAATCTCATTCTCACCAGTATTCTTATGATGATGGTTTTGCAGGAGGGTACGAATGGGGTGGTAGTTCGAGCAACTACCAAGGCGGTGGTTATACAGGAGGTTACGGGGAGGGTGGTGGTTCAATCAACTACGGTGGATCGAGTAGTGCAGGATGGGACAAATACTCGCAACCTCCTCAACCAGCCCCATTTGTTGAGGCCGATGGTGTTCAATGGCCTGCTTGGGGGCCAGAGTGGTCTGAAATCGAGAATACCATTCGATCAGGGCGTACTTCACATGAGCGAGAGGACGATGTTGGTGATCGTGGTCATGTTGATCCTTCTAGCCCGAGCTATCCATTCGAGTCGAGCGACGAGGATACTGAGGAAGATTTGAGATCAGTGAGCGAGGAGGAGGAAGATACTGATGATAACGAGGATGAGGCGGCATTTCGTGAGGCACCCACGCCATATTATACATAGGTTCCAACTCAATTTTTACATAGTCAGAATGATGCCCCCGACTTTGTCCCTATGCCAGTGTACAATCCGACGGCCAATTTGGAGGTGGGTATGGCGTTCACATCGAAAGACGCTGTGCAGGATGCTTTTACAGAAGAGGCGTTGAGGCGCAATTTCGAGTGGAAGGTAAAATATTATGGCAGTAAACAACTATATGTCATATGCAAGCATGATGCAGAGGGTTGTACGTGGCAACTGCGGGCTGCAAATATGAAGAGAAAGGGTGCTTGGGTGATTCGCAAAGCTGAGACGATCCACACATGCTCCTCTTCTATACTTTCCCAAGATCACAGGCAACTAAAAGCAAAGAAGGTTGGGAGAACTATTAAGCACCTTATAGAAGCACAACCAGATATCAAGGTGAAAGCTATCATGGCAGAGGTGAAGGATCGGCATTCTTACACGATAAGATACAAAAAAGCATGGCATGGTAAGCAGAAAGCCATGGCTGAGGTGTATGGTGATTGGGAGGATTCGTATGCTTTACTCCCTAGACTTATGGGAGCAATGGAGGAGTCCAATCCTGGGACTGTTTTCGTCCCAGTATACAACAATGTATAGACTGAGGATCAAGTTCGAGTACAGGAGAAGCTGATGTTCCATCGTCTTTTTTGGGCTTTTAAACCATGCATTGACGGTTTTGGGTTCTGCATACCGGTTATTCAGGTATTTACCAACTGGTTCCGGTTTTAAATGTTGTATTATTTGCTGTTACGTATATTTCATACTAATTAGATCCTAAATTTTTATTCAGGTTGACGGAACTTTCCTTACTGGGAAGTACAGAGGATGTCTTCTAATTGCCACTGGCGTTGATGGAAACAGGCGGATTTTCCCGCTTGCATTTGCATTAGTGGAAGGGGAGAACAGCTTAAGTTGGGCATGGTTCTTTGACCAACTACACGAACACGTGACACAGCGGGAAGATATTACGATTATATCTGATCGACATGCGGGGATTAGGATGCTGTTGGTGGTTTTCCCGGCGAGTGGGGATGGAGATGGAGATGGTGTATTCGACACTGGCTCGCCAATTTCCAGCACAAATTTGGGAAGAAGAAAGACATCAAAAATCAACTTTGGAATGCAGGTACGTACTAATGTTTTTCTTATGCGATTTAAGTTTGTGTTTATTAAGCTGATGTTATTCATCATGTATTGACCAATTACGATTTTGTTCACCTTTCAGCGGTTGCACATCAACCAAAAAAGTACGAGCAGAAGATGAAAATGATCCGTCAGACCCACCGAGCTGGAGCAGTATGGGCTGAAGGTAAAGAGTTGCCCATGTGGACGTTCCATATGGACAACGGGGCCAGATGGGGCATTGCAACTACCAACCATGGAGAAAGTATAAATAATATATACAAGGGTCTTCGAGCGATGCCTATTTCTGTCATCGTGGAAATGTCTTATTGGAAGGTCAACGAGTGGCGAGTTGCTCGGCTACAGCAAGCTATAGGGAGGGAGTTGCAAGTTCATTCAATAGCACATGACGTATTCGCTCAAATGCAGAAGAACGATGAAAAATCAAGTAAGCATAAGGTTGTTCTTTTTAACCGCAGTGAAGGAATATTCGCTGTCGAAACAGGTATATGGGGTGGAGGGAGACGTGGTCACAATCGTCAAACGGTTAAATTGCACTACGAATTAGGGGAGTGTTCTTGTCAAAAGTATCAGAACGAAAGGATACCCTGCTCAAATGCAATGGCGGTTGCTAAGTCAATAACCATGAACAGAAACAGTCTGGTGAGTCCTTACTACACTGAACAAGCGATACGGAACTCATATAATGCAGCTTTGAGCCCCATGCCAGATGAAGCATATTGGCCTAAGCATGTAATCAAATTTAAATTGGGCTAAGAACGGAATAAATTCAATTTAAATCTAGCTAAGCATGTAATCAAATTTAAATTGGGCTAAGTACGGAATAAATTCAATTTAAATCTAGCTAAGCATGTAATCAAATTTAAATTGGGCTAAGTACGGAATAAATTCAATTTAAATCTAGCTCAAGCATGTAATAAAACTTAAATTGGGCTAAGTACGAAATAAACTTACTTGACACCGTAGGGGAGATTTTGCAGAAAGTTGAGCTCATCATCGTTTCTCCGGTATGGACGTGGGTCGAGAGGTGCGAACATTGGAAGATGCTCCCATACCCACAGTTGTAGGATGAACATCGCAGCACCAGCTTGCTTTGCCCCAACCTTCGAGCAAGTACACAGCTCCCGGTATACGCCCGCTAGCACGGCCGATCCCCAACTCTTTTGCACGATTGCATCCCAGTCACCTGTGAGCATATCCAACCATATGCCTTGAATCCACCGGTTGGACTTGTCGGGGAACAAAAATCCACCCACCAAACCGATGAGGTAGATGCGGGCGTAGCGCTCGACTTGTTCTTCCGGTGTCTCGTCATTGATTTCCACCTCTTGCTGGATGTGACATACCAGCCACGGGACCGACACTTGGCCCACATTCAACGGTGGATGCCCCCGTCCTTGAATTGGAGTGGTGGTCGGCATGTCAAAGCCCAAACGATCACGTATGAGCGGCCCCCAACCTCCTTCGGGTTTGGTCGTGGGACCAATGATGGCATCCCCAGAAATAGACATCCCGGTGAGGTTCGCCACGTCTTTGAGGGTGATCGTCATTTCCCCCTCCGCAAGGTGGAACGTATGGGTTTCGGGACGCCATCGTTCCGCCATTGCCGTAAGCAGATCGTTGTCGATTTCGATCCGCAAGAAATGGCGCAACATTCCCAAACCTGTCCTCGCTATATAGGGCTCCAACCTTGGATGCCAAGCGGGCAAGTTATTGGTCCCTTTATGAACCACGGGAACAAGCGATTCCTAAAAAAAAATAGGGAAAACAACAATTTATTAGATTAAATAAAGCAAAATAAAAATTAGAAAATAATAAAATAAAGCAAGAATACTCAAAAAATTACCGGATTGTTATCCCAAATAGCACGGGAGCGATGAGCTTCTTGGTCGGTTAAGAGACTCGCATCCCTTGGGCTATAATGGATATACAATCGAGGATCGTATATCTCGGCACCCATCTATAAAAAAGTAATGAAATCAGAGATTGTTTTGATAAAAAAAACACAAATCAAATTGTTTCGATTAAAAAAAATCATAAACCAAAAACCTACACGAAGAGCCTCTTCGTTCATTTTTTGGCGTAGGCCGGACAGAGGTTCGACGGGTTTAGGTTTGTAAGGGACGGGAACTTAGCGGGACGGGGGCTTTATGGTCAAACTCTAGTAATTCTTTCTGATGTGGAAGATCGGACTTAGCCGCAACCACAGAGCATACTTAGAATGAGACTAGAGCGGATAAATTGAGGGAGAAAGAAGTGAAATGTTTGTGGTGTGAGTTGAAAGTGAAGGGGGGAGGGTTATTTATAGTTGGGGGAAGGGGGGAGGCGCCTGCGCAGTAATTAATGTGCTAGCCTTCACCGTGTTTGAGGGACGCGGTGAAGGCATCGCGTTTCCCCAAAATGGTCACTCCAGAGGGGACGTGGCGTGTTGTGAGGCGTCGGATCGTGGGAAGAAAACCACGATCCGCGCCTCACCACATCTAACGGCCACGGTGAAAGCACAATGGCGCGGATCGCTGACGTAAACAAACACGGGGAATTCACCGTGTTTGTCTAACGCGGTGAATACCCCGCGTCTGTCCACGTCAGCGACTTCACCGTGGTCTATTAAAACGGTGAAGGCCTCACCGTTTTTTATTAAAACGGTGATGACATCACCGTCTCTGTTTAAAACGGTGATGCATTCACCGTTTTAGACAAAGATGGTGAATACGTCACCGTTTTTTTTAAAACGGTGAAATGTTCACCGTGTTTATTAAACGCGGTGATACCCTTCACCGCCTTTGTCAAAAACGGTGATGCTCAAACATGTGTACTTATGGAAAAAAATTTATAACTTATGTATTTTGGGAATTTTTTTTAATAACTAGTGTACTTTGGGATTTTTTCCGGGAAGAAGATAGTCAGAGACAAGGAGGCAGAGCTGAAAGCCTGAAACATATGAATCCGACGATTCGATTGATGTTTTTTTGTTATTCTTAAAATCCGGTCGTACCTCTCGATTCATCCTCGCCGGACAGGACACCGCCTCGGCGGCGCTGACCCGGGCTTTGTCTCCTTGGCTACTTCTATCAAGGACGATGACTCGCATGAAGACGATTATTACGAGGGCTTCAAAAATGCTCTGACAAGAACTCGATTTGGTGAAGGTAGGAGTAGATCTCCCACTGTCGCCATGAACCTTGAGGAGCTCTTTACGATTGCCTTTGGATTAGATCTCGTATGCGGCGGTAGGAGGCGAGGGTGGATCTGGACAATCAACAAAACATTATAAGACAATGTCAATAAAATCGTTTTGCCACGTCAGCTACTCCTGAACAACCCGCACAATGCGGGAGGGCCTTTTGGGTAAATCCATAGTTTTCTCTTTCTCACCATCCTCTCACCGAACCGTCCCAGCCACCAGTTCAGAGTTCAGACCCTTCGTCTCTCTCACCTTCCTCCCTCAAGAAATCCCTACCATCATGCGTTCTGCGTTGCCCTTTTCCCTTTGGCGTCGTCGCTTATGTGTTCCTCTTCAATCACGTCGCCGCTTCGTTCTCCCTACCTTCAATCAATTCCCATCGCCGCACCGTCAATCCCGAATTCCGATATTTATATGCAATCCGAAGTTCCTTCCTCTAATTCTACTAAATAGCAACAGTTCCTCCCTCAACCCCGCTATCGGAAATCGATTTGCATTCAAGCATCGGTGAGTCCCCGCCGCCCCTTGGCTTTCCTTTTCCGCTGCTTATTTCTTCCTTCATGCAATTTCACTAAATAACATAGCTTCTTAGTGAGCCAAAAAATGCTCCAGGAATGATTTATGTGGTAAAATAAGCTTCCTTTTGAAATCAGCAGCTTTGGATTTGGTGATGAAGGATCTGGGTGTCACGAATTTCAACCAATGGACTTGGTGTTGATCAATTCAGAGGTAAGCGTTCTTTAGAATCAATTCAAAACAAAATCTGACATCTTACTTAGGCTCTAGGTTCTTGTGGGTTCTTTGTGTTCTAGTGGAAAGATAGTTAAGCTATAATTTCTCATCTCTTGATTCGTAAATTTGAATCAAGAATGAGAGAGCAAGAAGTCTATGAGATTAGACATTTCAAAGTTTCTCTAAAATAGAACCAATTCAGGCACGTTTCCAATCTTTTGATGATAGAGTTTGATTTAGCCACCTTGGTACAATTCAAATTGTCTGAAGCATACCCTCCATCATATCAACCTTTTCAAACACTCTGAAATAATGAAGAAGTTGTATGATGAGAAGAATCAAATCAAGTAAGGTGGTATTTCCTGTGACGTTCATCGATAAATCGTACTTATTTTAAGGTTATAATGTTCTCCTGTACCCCAGATGTGACTGGGCAATCGGTTCAGTATTTTCCAGTCACCTCAAAAACATCAAACAATGGAAAGATACCGCAATCAAACTAATTTTGTAACTTTAACTCACTTCTTCCCTTTTTCCATTGATTTCGTTAGTGAACCATCACCAATCGATTTAATTGCTTACTTTGCTTTACTATGGTTGGTTAATTGCTAACAGAGGGGAGATGGTAAAGATCACTTTGTGGGGAACTATTGGAAACCAATTGGATGAAATTATATCTCACAGTGAAGGGCAACAATTCTTACGCCTATTGCTTCTGTGTTGTTTATGAATTTAAAGGCTTTAGTAAATCAAAATTCTTTTTGCCATCTTTCTTTGAAAATCTGAGAGTCGAAACTAATTATGACATTACTTTTATTTAAGGGGAGATTTGCATGTCATCAATAGGGCACTATACTTTTGAAGGCAAAGATGGATATTCTAGAAGTTCATCAATTTGATATTGGGGTTGCCATTCGTTTGTTACTTTGTTGCATGAAATCATACTATTAATTTGAATTATGATAAGAGGTCAAGACCATGTATGATTGTATTCTGGGGATACAAAAGCTCAATGCACCTGTTTTGATTATTGATAAACTAGCTCTTAAGGTTCTAAACATTTACATAGCTCAGCTCAATGAATTCAAAAATATGGACGAGCGTATTGTAAGATTTTTTCTATAGAATTTGGAATCATTTGAACACTTCTGATTTATCTGTTATTAAGTTACTTGCTACGAATTTTCAGGAGAAAGTGTTTGTTGTAGAAGGCCAAGTGATTCAAGTACAATCTAACTGGTGCGACATGGGGTGTCTTGAATGCCCTCACAAAGTTGAAGAGGATTGGAGAACTTTCGCAGACACCATAAGAAAACTTCTTAAATTGCAAAAGTCAAGTAAGCCGATCAACTAATTCAGTTTTTCTACAAACTGCATCTTTCAAATTTAGTTTTTATTGTCTGATATGTGTTATGAAATTGATGCACATGGAGATATTGGCATACAGACTCATGTCATTGTTGACTTTAATTCCATTAGTCATAGGTGAGAGTAAAACTCCATATGCAAGATAATTCTGCTGAAGCTTATTTGCAATTTTGGAGAGTGAAGGTCCCCATTTCCTTGGTGTAATGACTGGAGTTTTCTTTTTGACAGAGACCTGTTACAAGGTGCTACTAATGGCTGGAGTTTAATTACAAGCAAATTAGAGGAAGAAAAAAATCAAATCCTTCACAAGTCCAGCAAGTTGTTAACATGAAACTTAAATTGCATGTTAAACTTACTCAGTGTTGAACCCTCAAACTGAGTATTATGTAGTTAGCGTGGAGCACGATTCACTTGGGGTAAGTGATTAACATTTGAGCGCTAAAGCAATTTTATTACCTATCAGTTACCACCTTAGTTTCATCATTTTCATTTCTTTGATTACTCTAATTTCACTGCAGTCAATGAGTCAGACATCAAGCCAATCCCTCACAAGTGCAATACCTATGTCGAAGACAACTTCCTAGACTTCTCATGACAAAAACCAAAGAGATGAAACAGATTTGGTTGCTGCAAACTTAGAGGAAACTAGCAACATTGTTGCAAGCCTTGAAGATCTTGGAGAGGATGCTTAAGGAGATTTAAAAGGGAACATTGGGTCGACTCTAACACCAAGGAAGAAAAGTACTATTGTTGGGATCATTATGTAGTTAAGATCCACGTTATGAACCTTATAGTTTTAGAGTGTGTTTTTCACCTATGAGATGTTCGTGAATTGCTTAGTGTTCATAAAATTTAGATTCTTAGATTATCCATAATTTTATTTATCATTTTTATAGACAATTGGAATTTCAAGTTAACAATAATAATTTATTTGTGTTAACATCTCTTTTTTCCATTTGCATGAAAAGTTTTAAGTCCTCTCCTTCTAAAAAAAATTAATTGCAATAGACATAACTAAAATGAGGTTTATATAGAAGAGCATCACGATAAAAACATTAGTTAAATGCACCATCAGCAGATAACTTTTCACCGGTTTGCCAAACCCGTACTTTCCAATGTTGGACCAATGCTTACTGACGGAATTGTCGAAAGTTACAAATTCAAATTGCTTGAGTCGTATGTATTGTTTCAGGATTTTATACTAGATTAGCCTATATAATAAAACAGATTACACATTCCAATTTTATACTACACCGGCCAACGGGCCGGGCCCATTGCTAGTTGAACTAGGATGGAGAAGAGGATGGGAGTTAAAGAAGCGATGTAGGATGTAGGTGGAATTAAATTGGTAGTCCCAAATTCATTTAACATATGACAAAAGACAACAACCCCTTCCCCTGGCCTGCGTCTAAAGAACTTAATTACGAGTCTTCCCCGCAGGAATTCTGAACTCTTCAGCTAGCAGCCGCTATCTTACCCTCTGCCTCCGCCTGTCGCACCTGACCACAGCCACCAACCACAGAGTTTTCCCCTTTGATTCGCGCCCATCTCAATCAACCATCGCCATCGATGAATTTCGAGACCCCGTGAACACCAAACTCTAGGCTTCCCCTGATTCCCCCTCCTCGAGGTCGCCTGCATCCTCGTCGGGAGCAGATCCGGTGAGTAACCTTGTGGTGAGTAACCCCATGCATAATCCAATAAGAATCTGCCACATCAGCGCCTCCTTCTCTCTCCTGGAAAAATCATTAATTTTCATTCCTTTAATCTTTAACGGACGATTTCTCACTCGTTTTAACTCGGAATTTAATTTTTTTTGCACAGTTAGATAAGATTAATTGTGCTCTTCAAAACGATATCCACTTTGATATTTTTTGGAACAAAAAAAATTTGTCAGTTATTACCAGTCTATATCATATGGTATTTGACTATATCATATGGTATTGACTGGTATTAAATAACAGCATACCATATGATATGAAAAATACCAGTCAATACTATATGCTGTTATTTAATACCAGCATACCATATGATATGAAAAATACCAGTCAATACCATATGCTGTTATTTAATACCAGTCAATACCATATGATATTAAATAACAGCATACCATATGGTATGAAAAATACCACCTCATACCAGGGTGGTATAGTATGGTATGGAGTTGGTAACGAGAGGTTTGAAATTTTCCCCCCCAGAAAATTTTGAAATCCAATAGATCATGATTAAATCGTTCCTTTTGTGCAAAAATTTCCGAAAATGACTAAACAACGAAGGAGATACTATATGGTATGGAGTTGGTAACGAGAGGGATGAAATTTTTTTTTCTCAAAAAATATTGAAAATGGATATCATTTTGTAGAGCACAACGAACTCGTTCCATCTGTGCAAAAAAAAAAATTTGAAATCCGAGTTAGAATGAAGAAGATATGATCCAATTAGATTTGCAGACACTTAAAAGAAGGGTCCAGATTTGGTTACTCATTGTTACTCACCCTAAGGTTACTAACCCTATCTTGAGCCATCCTCATCGCTTCTTTAATGCGTTCCTTCCATTTTTGTTGCCTAATTTTGACGCCCATCGCCGCATTAACAGTTTTTTCAGATGGGCGCTCACATTCGATGGGAGTTAATGAGGCAACTTTGGAGTGGCAGCGGTCGACGACACTGGCGAGACGCGAGAGTTTGGACTTCGTACAGTCTTGGGGGACGGGTAGGGCTTCGTTGGAGAGGGATTCAACGGAGGAGAGGGATTCGATCGGATGGATGGATTTTTTAGTTGGAATAGAGAGAGAACGGATAAGGATTTACCTAGTTTAATTTTATTTATCCGATTTTAAAAATAAACAATTAAGTAGTGAAAATAATATAAATATCCATGTGACATGTTAAACCTTTGAGTCATTAGCCATCCAGCTCACTTAATTTTTGCCGAGTCAATTAACGGTCAAACAGACGTAAAGTTGACGGTTTGACTATTATATTGTTTTTGAAAAGGTTAGACTATTATATAATTCAAAACGAAAGGTTTGGCTATTATGTTATATTTACCCTATTGAAAAAATAATATAAGTAACATAATCTCAACAAGTGTTTGAATGTGCCATAAACGACCCGACCCTCTCACAATGGACCGCCTTTGTTATAGTATACCCAAGGCCCTCTCAACATCCTTGTAGATAGGGGTGTACATGGGTCGGGTGGTCCGGGTTTAGACATTTTAATCACCCGATCCATACACTACGGTTTGGGAAATATTAAACAAAAACCCACCCAAAAAAATCTAAACCCTACGGTTTGTTTCTAATTGGGTTGGGTCGGGGTTGGCGATATGTTTGAGTAAAAACCCAACCCAACACAAAATATGTAATTATTCTACACCATAAAAATATTTTATAACTAATTAAAAATTCAAACGAATAAACCGAGGTGAAAGGTATCAAAATTTACAAATGTTGTTTGAATTTTAATAAAATTTGATTTACTTCAACTTATGTCTAGTTTTTTCACGACATTTGTTGAAATAGGCAAAAAAGGTTACAAATAAACGCATCCATAATATGTTATTCTATTAAAATTGTACACAAGAAAAAGAATTACTTGAATCATATCTATATTAAATTTATGTCTAAACTTTAAGCCGAAGAATGCATTAGATTAGGGAGACCTTAAGAGAAAAACATGACGAAATATCTTAATTTTCTTATAAGTATGGTTATATACGACATAAATATTTTTTTGGATATGAACTCATACCAATAATTGGAAAACAGGTTGGGTCAGATTCTACGGGTTGTGTAATCCAAATCCAACCCAAAAGAGGCGGGTTGTACAAAAGAAAATCCTCACCCAACCCAAAACCTTCGTTTTAGCTATAAATATGGGTGGGTTGGGTCCGGTTGGACGGGTGGATCGGTTTGCAGGTGTGTTTGTTCACCCCTACTTGTAGAAAGTCTCTTGATACTTTGCAAACAACTTCTTCTTTTGATTGTTTGTTTGCTAATAGTCTTCTCAAATGTTGGTTTGCCTCTTCACTTGAAAGTGGTCGACCTGTTTGAAGAGACGGTCGACCAATATGGCAATCTTGTTGTTATTTGCAACGTCGTCTTCAATTTGGTCGACCTACAAATCAAGAGGTTGGCCTCTTTAACGGAATGATCGATCATACTGCTCTCCGATCGACTTCGATATGTTGTACATTACAAAATCAATTGGCGTAGATATTTTTCCTTTAATACGGTCGACCTATAAAAATAAATCGCTCATTTTTCCCTTCTAAACGAGAGAGTCTTGTCACAATAAGATATAATTCAATTAACCAGTGTATAGAAGTGGACAACCATTTTTCAACTTTCAATGATTTCAAAATCACCATTAAAATATCCTAAACTTTTTCAATTTAGGGCTAATACCACTGGGAAACCTGAATTATTAACTTTGTGCCATTTGTGTCCTAAAGTATTCGATATGACATTTGTGTCCTGACGTATGATAGTTGTGTGTCATTTACGTCCTGACAATTTTGTTGACCGTTATAGATAACGGTTGACCAAACAGTCAACCATAAAATGTTGACTTTTGGTTACATGGCACATATGTGGCAGCCACATATGCGCCACGTCAGCTGCCACATCAGATTGTTATTTTTAAATTAAAATTAATAATTAAAATAAAAAATACAAAATAATCCCTTCTTCTTCATCTCTTCATACTCGAACAAAGTCCCCTAAAAAAAAATACCCGCCCCTATCCCTTCTTCTCCGGCTCTGAGTGACTTCACCGCCGGAACCTTCTCGGCGAACTTCTTCTCCACTTAGCCTCGTCTTGGCGGTGGTATGCGCGCCGGTGAAAAAGGAAACAGAGATCTGGATCTCGTCGTCACCTCTGCACCCTTGGATTTCTTCGCCTCGGTACTCCCGTCGGAGTCTGGCTCGAACGGTGCTCGACGGCAACGCTACTGCGGCTGAACGGCTGGGGACGGCGACGCTGCTGCGGCTACGACAGCGACTCAGATTTGCGAGTCGAGATAGTGTTGGCCTTCGTGGTCGCCGGGAGACGAAGAGGAGCAACCGGAGAAAACTAGATCTGTATTCTTGGGTTGAAAAGGGAAAGAAAAGCAACGAAAGGTAGAATGGATTATGGGAAGGGAAATGGGTCGCGACGTCGATTCAGATATGCCGGCTCCTGCTCCTCTGGTCGTGAGATGGTCGAGGATGAGAAAATGGTTTTGGTGCTTAGAAATTTGGAGGAGATGGCTATGATTTGTGGCGGAAGGAAGTGGGCTTTCGTGGGTACTGGGGATAGAAATGGATTTGGATTTTGAGTTCTAGGGTTTTCGTGGGTACTGACGATAGAACTGAATTTTTTTATAACTTTTCTATATTTTTTTTTGTTAGTTTATTCATTTTTATGAGAAAATAAATATAATAAATAATAAAAATTCCACGTCAGATGCCACATCAGAGCGGTGACTAGACTTTCTGTTAAAAACTAACGGTCAACGCCGGTCAACCATAATGAAAAAATAGTTTGGGACACAAATGTCATATCGAATACTTTAGGACACAAATGACACAAAGTTAATAGTTCGGGTTTCCTAGTGGTATTAGCCCTTCAATTTAACCACCTAGAGGTTAGGACCAATTTATTAATTTAACCAATACATCCCACTAGTACCGTACGGGTAGGGAATCACCAATTACTAATATTAATCACTAAACGTACCCATATATCGAGGAAAAATCATGCATTTTTTTTTCTATACCTGTTTTCCCTTTTGTGGATACTTATTAGATTATTTATTCAATAAACCTATAAAGACAAGAAATCAGAAATCTCAGCAGATTAGGACAAGTAATCAACAGGTTTCCGACTAAGCCTGATTTTCTTCTGCTCGGAAATCTCCATGTACTACTCTAGTCTTTTTATTTTTTAATTATATACAAAGAAACTGTCAATTTAAAGTTAAAAGTATTATCTTATTAATGTTAGCAATTCAATCTGGGGTTTAGCTTCTCGGAGTTCACATTTGCATTGATAGGACCGAGCGAGAGATAATTGAATCATCAATTCATCATAAAATACTCAAAACCCAATTGCCTCCAAATCCCAAATAAGCAAACAATTCCCCACTTTCTGAAAATTTCGTAAGCTTTTTCGACAGTTATTTTCAATTTAATTTTTCCTCACCTTGTTCTGCAACCGATACAGAGAGTAAAGACGAGGAGAGGATTTCCCCTGGAAAAGAAACTTCTTGATTTTCTGTTTGGATCCTGAGATTCATCATTCTCTCCCCATTTTTCCTTCTTATACCTTCTCGTGAGTATCTCTCTCGCGTTACCGGCCTCCTTTACTCCGCGCGGCCGCTCACCATTCCAGTCCCGTGATCAAATTCAAAGGTTTGATCCTTCAATTGCTTCGATTCACATTTCTGGGTTCGGCTCCCAGTCTACGAAGGAGCTGCTAAAAATGGGATCTTTGTGGTTTGATGGGGCGATTTGGGCAATGCCGTTGCTTTCTTAGGGATTCCGCTCTCGAGAGAATTGAACTGGTTTGAAGCGAGCCCGAGCCCTATTTTTGTGCCCATAAGGGAAAAAAATCAATATTTCTTCGATGAAGCGGCGATGAGGAGAGGAAGAGAGGAATGGAGACTAGATCTGAGAGCATCGGGTTGAGGTCGGAGAAGCTTGGTGGGTCGAGTCCAGTGATCCCCAGGACACGGTTGCAGGTGTGGTTCATAAGGGTTTGCTCCAGTATTCTCGTATGGACTTGCTTGGTTCAGTTGGTGGCGGTTGGGGAGCTCTGGCGCCCACGTTTCATCACTAATTTAACTACTAGGTTCTCTCACACCGCCGGCCCTCTACACCTCCAAGTTGCCGTCCGGCCACCGCCTCCTCTTCCTCCGCCCAGTGAGTCTGCTTCCCTCCTTTGCTTTTACCGCTAATTCTTTTCCTTCTTCGTCTGTGATTGTTGGAATGGTGTGGGAATTCCGGTGGTTTTATTAGGGTGTATAAGGTGCTGCTGCAAGTTAGAACATTTAATATTCCTGGCTTCAGATACACTTAAAAAAAATTAAGAGCAGTTGGAGTTGACTGAGACAGTATCAACTAGTGTAGGTTGGAACCTTGTGATCTTTTATCCAACGTGACTGTTTCTTTCTTTCTTTCTGTCTCTCTTCCCTTGTGCTTTAGTCCTAGCTTGGAGTGTAGCATTTGCTTGTCAGTGTCCATTGCCGGTTCCTGGGGTTCCCAATGGCTCACATTTGGATTCCTTTCATTGGAAGCTACCTACCTACCTCTCAACTTGATCGAACTTTCTTCTGATTCAATGATCTTTCTTTTTCACTGGTGCCTGTTATGTGGCTTCTCGTTGAAGGATTCCAGAGTTGGTGGTGCCATTACATACTGAACAGTAGCTTAGTTGTAAATGAATGACCAGGAATTTAGGTTGATTACTCCTAGGATGAATTTAACGGATAAGTCATCTTAACCATGTTGCATCTGTCACTTACAAGTCAAATACTCGGTGTATCAACCATGTAGTCCTGTTTTCAATTAGCCCAAATGGAAATGCAAATCTCTTTATTGCTAGGATTTGTGTTCATCATCCACCGAAGACAATATTGATGTTAGTCACTAACAAAATGTTGCAGGAAATTATACCAGTAATGGTTTCCTTAAGGTGTCCTGCAATGGAGGTTTGAATCAGATGCGCTCAGCGGTGTGTAGTCTTACCTCTGCTGTCACTTACGTGCTCCATATCTCTTTAGATCATTAACCTGAGTTGAATGCCATATTCTAGATTTGTGACATGGTGGCTGTTGCTCGGCTATTGAACCTTACCTTGGTTGTTCCAGAGCTTGATAAAACATCTTTTTGGGCTGACCCCAGGTATATTTGTTTTCCTCTATAAATTCTGATGTGGGTTCTTCTCCTCTGTTCTCCTAAATGGTTTGACTTTCATATTTTTTCCCACAGTGATTTCGAAGACATCTTTGACGTGAGACATTTCATCGACTCACTGAGGGACGAAATTCGAATTGTTAGAAGACTGCCAAAGAGGATTAGTAAGAAGTATAGACATAGAGTATTGGAGATGCCACCTGTTAGCTGGTCAAATGAAAAATACTACCTACAGCAGGTTTGTTCACTTCTTCCTAGCTTGCATTTCTGGCTTATGATGGTACTATAAGCTGTACATTGTGGCCGTGTAATATTCCTAAGTTTACCTTTCCCTTGTCTTTGGACTCCCCTTTGATTCTTGCGCCACAGATTTTGCCACTTTTCAACAAGTCAAAGGTGTTGCACTTTAATCGGACAGATGCACGCTTGGCTAACAACATGATTCCACTTGAACTTCAGAAGCTCCGGTGCCGTGTTAATTTCCAGGCACTAAAATTCACTCCTCAAATTGAGAGTTTGGGCCACAAATTGGTACAGATTATTCATGAAAGGGGACCTTATATGGCTTTGCATCTAAGATATGAGATGGACATGTTGGCTTTCTCTGGTTGCACTCATGGCTGTACACGGGAAGAAGCTGAAGAACTCAAACGGCTAAGGTTTGCAGTCTTTATCATATTGCTTCCAAACCCTTACAAGAAAATACTGGACTATATTGAATAGCTGCTATGAGTGCATGAGGAGAGGAAACCTAAAACATAAACAAGAGTAGTCTTGCACTAAGTGGGAAAAAACATCTCAAAATGGCGTCTCTTGCTTCCCAACTTTGATATCCTGACTGATTTCATAACTTGATATGTAGTCCTTTGAACGGTCTGTGTTCTCAGAGTTTATTTATGCAATTATGCATCTAAGAGTTGAAACAATCACCTACCCTTCAACGCCTTGGTTGATATGATCATATTTCTCAACTTTTGATGGGTGGTCTCAAGTTTATTCAATGTGTTGTGCTTCTGAATCAGGTATGCATACCCTTGGTGGAGAGAAAAAGAGATAAACTCCGAGGAGAGAAGATCCCAAGGCTTATGCCCTCTAACTCCAGAAGAAGCAGCATTAGTTTTACAAGCATTAGGGGTTGACAAGGAAACTCAGATATATGTAGCAGCTGGTGAAATATATGGCAGTGAACGTAGGCTTGCAGCACTAAGAGCTGCTTTCCCTCGTATTGTGAGTTTCTTAGTGCTGGACTTCTTACATATAGACTATTATATCTCGGAAATCTTGGCCTCACAGATGTGTTTCAGGTGAGAAAGGAAACATTATTAGATCCATTGGAGCTGCAGCAGTTCCAGAATCATTCATCTCAAATGGCTGCCCTGGATTTTATGGTCTCAGTAGCTAGCAATACTTTCGTTCCTACCTACGACGGAAATATGGCAAAAGTGGTCGAAGGTCATCGCAGGTACATGGTCACTGGTGAATGTCATGCTTCTCGTTACTAAAGGGAACATATTCTTTCACCAAGGGTGTGCTCGTTTGAATTTTGCAGAAATATATTATTTTTTTTTTTTTAGTTTTTGCAGAAATGAAGAAGTTTTCTAGGAGATTCTGCTTTTAAAGAGTTTTGAGATTTATGGTAAAAAGTTAGATTTAGAGTGTAAAGTTTGCTGTAGCTCTTAAGTCGATTATTTTCTCTGTTATTTTTTGGCTAAAACAAACAGACCCCATACATGGTTTCTGACTAGAGAGCTTGGTGTAGGTATCTTGGATTCAGAAAGACAATTCTGCTTGACCGGAGAAGACTCGTAGAGCTGCTGAATTTGCACCAGAATGGTACACTTCCATGGAATGAATTTACAGTCGCTGTCAGGGAAGCACACGAGAAAAGAATGGGGCAGCCAATTCGCCGCAGGGTCATCCCAGACAAGCCAAAGGAGGAGGATTACTTCTACTCAAACCCTGTAGAGTGTCTTTGTGAGGGAACAACAAATTGTGATGACCTACTTGGCAGTGGTAAATCCAACTCCAGTTCCGTCCCTTGATGTTGATGGCATGGCATAAGTGTTGTAGCTCATGACACATAGCTAGGAGAGAAGCTCACAAAGGAAGTGAGGTGTCCCCCTCAATGTTATGCACAGGCGGTTGGTGGCTTTAATGACCGCAATGAGACTCAGAAGGTTATACACACAAGTTGAGGCCCTTTGAAAGAAACAGCAAGAAAAAGGTGATCCCCCATTTAGTTTCTTTTTCACCTTTGTCGATAGTTATCTATTCTTTTTGTTTTCCCCTCTTTTCCTTCTGGTGAAGATCACTGAGTGTTAGATAATCTCACAGTTTCAAAGTTTGCAAGTGTAGCATTCTCATTTTCCAGCTCAAGAACATTTGGCTGTAAGCCTCTTGTAGTAGTCACACTGCCCACATCAAAGAAAGAAAATTTCCTCCAGCAATACATTGACTTTGGCTCTCACATTTTAATGCTTTCTCTGATTAATCAGAGGCTCTTCTGACAAATAATGCCCTTAAATGCCTCTATATTGTGGATTCTCAAATTGATCTGCTGTTTGTCTTATATATGGAACTACTCCCAGAAGATGATGTCACCTTGTTCTCCAACCAGACCAAGATCCTTGAGCCTTCTTTCTTGGTAGTATTCAATCTCGTCCAGCTCTTCCTCTCGTTGCTTGAAAAACTCGTCAATTTGCTGCAAAACCTTCTTCTCTCCTGCTCTTACTCCCACTGCAATACCAAGCCTTGCACTCAAACCTTCCCCTTCCATCAACTTCTCATCCTGGTAACATTTTCCCTCCCAATTAGGTTACTGGTACCAGAAAAATGCTAAAGATCCTCAAGGGACATGTAAGAGAGATCTCACCTCTTCGATGGTTGTCTGATACCCAGAAAGAGCAGTTTTGCAGGCATCTCGAACCACCCGGCAAACAAGCTCCTCATTGGCACGGCTTACAGGCAATTCAAGATGGCCCCAGATCGTGTTGCTGAAGATAGATTCCAATAGGAAAGCATCTGTGCCTCCAAGTGCAACAAGGCGCAAGTATGGAAGCAGTTTAGCTGGTAGAGGATAGCCTAAGATTATGTCGAACTCTGCTGTCTCTCCCAAGCCGTTTGTCTCGGCAATGTCGAGCTTGTCTCCAGCGAACTGATCTGATTCGGAGATCTGAAGGGTCAAGGTATAGACATTGCGGTCGGATTTTGACTCTATGAATCCATAGTCTAGAGCTAATTCTGCATTACTCTTGTTTAGATCATACTGAATCAGAACCTGTTGAATCAAAACGCCCCAGGAAACTCTAGTCAACACAAACGACCAAACAATTCAAGGCGTTCTACAGTTTCATCAAGTGTTTAGGCATGAGAAGATGTGAGCGGATTCAGCTTCACAAACGGTTCACAAGATAGCAATTTGAACAAGCAAGCAAAAAAACATACATTTGGATCCATCAGTAGCCCTTAACCATAATTTGAAGCTGGAGATAGTTTTACCTGCTCACCAGCCTTCACTGAGACTGGGGATCTCAAAGAAAACAAGAGATCTCGGGAGAAAAGACCCCCGCCTTTAATCTCATAAGCATAATCTTCAGTTGTTATATCAGGGCTGTGATTCACCTAAAGATATCCCAGAAAGCATATCACAGTAACCAACCATCAACTTCATGTTCTGGGAAAGGGGCTATTCTCAATAGTAGACTTCTTTTTGTCCCCCAAGAAAAGAAACAAAGGGCTTACCAAGTCTGCAAGAGGGATGAGAACAAGATTTTCGCCGCGAAGCCTAGAGAATGCTCTTGATCTGAGAATTCCAAATGCCCAGGTGAAATCTTCCAGTGTCACAGGGGAAGGAAACAGCCGCGAATTAGGTTCTAAAATCTCTTGTTCAACTCTCTGAAACTCCCTCTGCAAGTATTGCTTTACTCCTGTAGTTGTGCTCAGCAGTTGAGTTCCTAAAGCCATTAGAGAAGTGCCATTAATGCAATGTATGAAGACATGAAAAATTTCATGAAAATCATAGAAAGCACAGAAAATGGCAACCAACCTTGAAGTTCTACAAGCTCCTTTTCTGACCTGCACTGAATTCCACAAGAAAGAAACAAACAAGTTTCATCAACCCACAAATTATCAATCAATCAACTACATCAACACCGGTGGAACAAAATCAGGGTCATGACCCGAGAACCCACCAAAATATAGTGGAATCGGTGGTCTCGGGGAGCACATCCAAGTAAGCCTTCAACTCCGAGCGTTCCTTCTTCGACTTCTCCCTAATTAAGAACAGAGCGACGGAGATCCACGGCTTCAGCCCGCCGCAGATTCCCCCAATTTCGGAACCCGCCACGGATTCCGGGTTGATCCAGAGCTTCTTGGGCACTTCCAATACGACCTCATTTCGCCCGATATCCCTTCGCGCTACCAGGCCCAGACCTTCGGCGCCCATGCCGGGTCTCACCGGGGTCTTGCCGGAGATCACGCCTCGCTCGCTCAGCCATTCCCAGAAGGTCGCGATGGCCGGCGGCGCCTCCGCCGTTGATGTGAGGGCTGCGAGGGGGGTTGTTGGAGACAAGATGGGGGTTTTCCTAAAGGGGATTGATTGGGAATTCAAGGGAGACGAAGAGAAGAAGGGTTTTGAGGGGGGAAGAAGTGAAGTGGAGAAGGAAAAGAAAGCCGCCATTGTTGTGGGAGTGAGTGAGAAGCTGTGTGGAAATTTGATAGATTGTGAGCTGTGGATAAGTGGGAACTGGGAAGAGCCTTTCTATCCGGAACATAAGAGATTTCGTTACATTACCGTTAGGAAAATATGATATCAGATACTTCAGTGTAGTGCAGTTGATTTTTTGGTCCCTGAACTTTCTACAACCTACTTTCAGATCCATTTGAGGAATTCCCTTTGGTGTTTCGAAAATTGTTTGGTCTTTGTGATTTTTGTCTTTCATTTGTTGTTTTTTCTTTATAACAATAATCTGAAATACAGATTATATCAGGCCTACAGAAAATTAGTAGGCAACCCAGATACAATTTGGGCTCCCATCTCCTTAGCAATAACAAAGTTGAGTCTAGTGAAAACGTACACGGCCGTCCGAGCCCCTGCATCATAAGACACAGAGAATTTTTGGATGCGCTTAAGCAAAGCCACAACCTCCGTATCTAACTCTCCCAGCGAAGAGAAAGAAAAGGGCTAGGGGTGAAACCTTGACCGGGAAGACCCACTGACCCATCCCGTCCCTAAGGGTCGGGACGGGTCAGTTTGTCTACAGGGACAGATTAGGGACGGGTCATTTGTTGACCCTGTAAGGGTCGGGACGGGTAGGGACAACTTAGGGGCGGGTCAGGTTTTGACCCTGTGACCCTTAGCAACAACAAATCTCACACCACAGTGGACCTTTTTGTAAAGTTTTAAAAGTTTAGGTACTAATTTGTAAAAACTAAAATTTTGGGTACCAAAACATTATTTTACCATCAAAATTTATAGACTTATTTGTAAAAAAAAATTAGATACTAAATTGTAAGAAAAAATAATTTGGGTATCAAAACATAATTTGTAAAGAGTAGTGTGTTGATTAGGGTCGACCCACTGACCCGGCCCGTCCCGTCCCTTCCCTTGAGAGTCAGACAGGGTCAAGAAGGAGACAGGGATGGGACAGGTCAGTTATACATCTTGACCCTTCAGGGTAGGGGTGTTCAAATGGTTACGATGGTAATAACCAAACCAAATAAGTCTAAAATCTATTAACCATGGAATACAATATCATAACCAAACCGTCCAAACTAATACAACAACCAAATTAACCAAACTAAAGTTTATTCGGTTTGGTTAATTGGTTAACCAAAATAACCAATATAACACCACATTATCATTAAGTGAGAAAATTTTTCAGTTAGTGCATCAATTTGCAATTTATATAATGAACAACACACAACAATCCACATAATTATAGTTAACCCTTAATGTAAATACATGTAACAAATGGAATTATTTTACATTTGACTCTTGAGTGGTTATGCAAAGTATTAAGTATGTGTATATAATATATATTAGATATATGACAAATTACTTAACTGGTTAATTTGGTTTGATTGGTTAGGAGTGCCTGAAACCAAACCAAGCCACCTAAACCAAACAAGCTAAATTTTTAACCAAACCAAACCAATTATCGAAATTAACCAAACCAAATTAGCCAAATACTACCATGGTAACCAAACCGTTTGAACACCTCTACTTCAGGGATGGGTCAGATAGGGTCAGGGACGGGACAGGGACGAGACAGACAAATTTTCAGCCCTAAAAAGAGCAGGAACCAGTAACTAGCTGTCATGCACAAGTCCCGATACTTGGCACACTTTCGTCGAGCAGCATCAACAACAACTCGGCTCGGCACAAAACTGGTCATCCCAGCCTGAGTCAAAGGAGAAGACCCAGTCAAATCAATACACACATCTCGCACCCTGTCCCAGGAATAAAGCAGCAAATCCGCAGGACGAAGGGGTCCGCCATGCCCATCAACCAAACTGATATCAACCTCCCTTCTGACAGAAATCTCAGACTTGTAACATATGTCCAGTAAGGTGTCTCAAACGAGGTTATGTCGATGCTTAATGCCCACAATGCCAGCACAGGACACAACATGATCCCCAAAGACATCACCATCAAAGATACATGAACAAGCAGAACAAGATCTAGATACAAAAAATAACGGGACACCCAGTCGATAACTAAGCACACTACGATATGTCCCCATTCATAGACTGGCTCAATCCAATAATAGGAACAATACACAACCAATCAAAAGAGTGTGCACTCTGTTGGGACTTCCACGAGCACTTTGTTTGGATGACACACTTAAACTACAATATGCATGCGGGTGGGATTAAAGAGATGTCACCAAACCTTCTTAGCGAATTTAAACAGGAATAGGTTAGGATGCAAACTCTTATTGTTTGGATGGGCTATTGTAGTGAGGAATTGTGGCACAATTTCTCGTTTGGAAAGACATTCAAAACTGAGTGATTTCAGACACGATGGATTTTAAAAATCGACATTATCTGAATTTAGAAATAACTACCCATCTTCATGTATTTTGAAATCCGGCCCAAAATTTTCATTAGTTCCTAACTCGTCCCTGAGATATTTTTGTGTTAACCCAAATTTACCTTGTGGAGCATGGGTCATGTGCTTACTGCTTAGGGACCATCGACCCTTAGTCCCCTTAGTCAATCGATAGGCAGAGAGGGGTCATCATAAATTTTTAACCTATCTCCATTCTTTCATTTTCATTCTCGCAAGAACCTCCCCTCAATCTAATCGATGCAACAGATTGGCGGAAACCCAAAACTTTTATCGGTGTGTCATTCTCTTAGCATTTTGAAAAATCTACACATAAATCATAACTATTTAAAATGATTAAAGGGAATCGAAAACATTGAAAATTCACGACTAATCATATAGGAAGTATAAATCATAATGAGAAACAAATGTGACAACCTTTCCACCCCACACTTTAAACAGGGCACTGTACTCGGTAGACTAAACTCTATATAGGATAACAATGCAAAGGATTGGAACGTTTTACCTCATTTTCCATTCCAATTTTAGTAGAACTAGATGGCATTTTTTATATAAACCTCTGCGGAGCTTTATTGATCAATAGAAGCTATTACATTATCCCGACTTAATTGATCAATCAAAAAAACTGGCGGACTGTCAAACCACACTTCCGCTACATTCCATCTTGTCTGTGTATGTGCCATAACATGTGCTGCCCCCATTAGAATCGCGACCGACATGCCTTGCCAGACCTCCTGTTATATCCAGCCGCCTTCGTATCTCACGGCAAATAATGCCAAGCTCAGTATCATTCTCCCCCGCCTCGCGAATCGCTCCACATTCAAACAATCCATTTCCAGGATCGGGGTTCCCAGTTGATGTTGCCAGATAAGAAGCATACCGAGCTCTGCTGCGAGAGCTTCCCCCATCTCCACCTCCTTCACTCCTTTGATCCTCTTCGCTACTGCCAGGAGGAAACTGCCCTGATGATCGCGCACGACGACCCCCAATCCTGCCCCCAACAAATCAATCCCCACGACAGTATTCACTTTCACGTATCCTTCCGCTGGCCTCTCCCACTTATTTGGCAGCTGCACTCCAATCCTCAAGATCCTTCTTCGAGGCTTCCTTCGTTACTCTTTCCACCCAATCCAGGCACCTCAACGATCCCTTCTTCTCGAACAGTGACGCCACCTGTGACGTTCTCCACAAGCGGCTAGCCCACGCATAGTCATAAAATAAATGTGTTTGGGTTTCCCGGATATTACAGAAAGGGCACGCATCGCCTCGCTTCTGGCTCTTTTCCGGAACACGAGCTCCAGTGGCAAGCGATTCTCTCGCAAATCTTCACATAAAAATACGGACCTTTGGTGGCACCTTCATCGACCACAAACATTTCTGATTCCCCTACCACCGGCAGACCCTTCTCTACACGTACATCCTCCAACCAATTTTTGTACCCTTCCTTAGCTGTGTACTTCCCATCCCTACTCAAAGCCCAGATCATCTTATCAATCTCTTCCACACTCCGTAACGGAATTTGACAAATTTCATCCGCCATTTCTCTTGTGAAGCAGCTCTCAATGAGGGGAACATCCCACTGGTTTGTGGTTTCATCAATAAGCTCCCTCACTGCTGAATCAACCTCCAAGCCCATCGGGGCCGACTGAACAATATACCCCGGGGCCGTAGGCAACCAACGATCACCCCAAATCCGAACCCGGGAGCCATTTCCGATACGCCATCTCATCCCACTGACCAGGAATTCTTGGGCACTCAAGAGACTTCGCCAAACATATCTCAGTTTATACCCAATCTTCGCGTCCAACAACGAATTATGCTTATGGTACTTAGCTTGAAACAAACGAGCAATTAACGAATCCGACCTCTGGTATAGACTCCATAATTGGCGAGCTAGTAGAGCCTGGTTAAAACCTCGGATGTCCCGGAAACCCATTCCCCCCTCAGCTTTTGAGCAGATGAGAGACTCCCTCGCCACCCATGGTATTCTCTTCTCTTCCCCCTTCTGTCCCCACCAAAACCTCGTGATCATCCCATGGATATCATCGATTATCCCATCCGGAACCTTAAACACGGACATAGTGTAAGTCAACTGTGCCTGCGCCACTGACTTAATTAGAACTTCTCTCGCCGCAACGGACATAACTTGCTCTTTCCACCCTGCAAGCTTCTTTCGAACACGGTCCTTTAGATACACAAAAAGCTCCTTCTTCGACCTCCCCACCTCAGTCACCAAACCCAAATATTTTTCATGCTTCTCCACCGCCTTCATGCCCAATATCGAACTAACCTGTAGCCTCTAATGTGGCTTAACGTTAGAGCCAAAACTCACTTCCGACTTCTCAAAGCTCACCAGTTGTCCCGAATCCCTCTCATAGTTCGTCAGAATGCGGCGGAGGTGCTCACTCTCCTGTACTGTGGCCCTAGCAAAAAAGATAGAGTCGTCAGCGAAAAACAAGTGAGACACCAACGGGGCGCCCTGCGCAACTGAAAGTCCATGAATACGCTTCTCCATCACTGCCTTCAAGGTGTAAGCCGACAGTCCCTCCGCCACCATAAGGAACAAATATGGAGATAGAGGGTCTCCTTGCCTTAGCCCCCGACTCGGTATGATCACCTCTGACTTGTGTCCATTCACCAAAACTGCATAAGTAACTGA